TCGGGACAAGTCTGTGACGCCGCGTGAGCGCCTGTTTTGCCAATGACGCGACGGATGAGTCGAATTTAGACCGAATGATTAGTACTGACAATAATTTGGATATCCACTTAAGCCGTTTGACTACTATGAATACCTTTGAGGTAGTCTTATGCTTGAAGTAATTTGACGAAAAGGAACTTTATATGGTATTAGGAGGTTACATTTTTTCCACCAAAATATTTGTGGAGCCAAATAAACGTATTCATAAGTGCTTTTCCAAACTTCGCACTAGGATAATTAACCGTTGAGTGGCGTGCTAATTTTCAACGAGTCGAAATGAGCAGTGAGGACGTTGCATTTGCAGTGGGCATCCCCAATTACCTGCTAAATTAACAGCAATCGCACAGAATATATAAATTATTTCAAGCAAGAAATTTCTTTTTATGCCAGTTTAACTGTTCTAAGTTATATAAATATTTCAAAAAATATGTTAATAAGATCTGTAAAGCTCAGAATTTTCATTGTACCATGTCGAACCATGCGGTGCTCGTTCGATGTCCTACAGTTTCCCTAGCATGAATAATTGAGAGTCATTTAGCATTTGCATTCATCGGACAGACACTGAGCCGCCTCACGAAGTTGTATTTGCATTAACTTCTTGTTAAAGTCAGCTTAAGAGGACAATTGTGATGTACGCCATAGTTTTTGCTGCTCGTTCCTGCTCTTGTCTGTCTTACGGTTACTTTACTCTTCTGTTTTTTTGCTGCTCATTTGCACTTAAAGTTTCGCGGCGAAAGGCAGCGCCTGCGGAGAGAATTGCTCGATTTTAGCAGCTTAGTGCTAATTCCCAAGGAACTCAAACTGTACGCAGCCAGACATAGTTACACTTCGAAAACACACAGACACACTTCCACCCACACACACACATCTCTGTATACAACTAAGGGCATAAAGTGCCATTTCGCATGAGTAACTTGAGCAAAATTAAAAAAAAAAAATTAAAAGAAAAAGAAAAGGAGCAGAAAAAGGAATGCGAATTGCAAGAAACTCGCATACAAAACATCGCGTCTTGGCTAAAGTGAAATGCTAGCAACGTCCTGGCAAAAGGATGAACCGGCAAACGCCGCAGTGGCGCCCGAAGATTAAAGTGCAGCAAATTTAATTTTACTTGTTCAGGCAACTGCGAAAACAAGTTTTTATGCCTCGCAACGCATTGCCTCTGGCTAGCTGAGTACAACGAATGGCTAAAATGTCTTCAGCCATCTAAGGAGTGCAGTGAGCTCATGCAGTGCTTTGCAAAGGGCTTAGATTGAGCTACTGCTTACTGCTGTGTACCTGTAAAGCTTACCGTATACCTTCTTATATGTTAAAAGCCCTATTTTTACATTATATATAATAATCGGAGCTATATTTATGATTTATTAAACTTGCAATTTAGGCGTTTTCAATTTAAATTGGTGTTACATTTTATTATATATACATTTGATGTTGAAAATTAAAAATACTGAAGAGATCCCGCCGTATATCTTTAAATTCAGCATCAGTTCCCGATTCGACTTCAGTAATAAAAGACACAGCGAGAAAGAGATGATCAGAATGATGAGTGGTGAATGGTGAATGGGCTATATATAAATGACATAAAGTTGTATTGTGTGGCACTGAATAGCTGTTATTTACATATATGTATATCATATACTGATTCTTAATCTAATGCCATGACATATACATATGACAAGGGTATGCATATATATTTATATAGAGTATATGGAACGCTGGATAGATTAGAAATCGGGATTGATTGGGAATTCCACAATGCTTTCCCACTGTCGATAGTCCTCATCAATGTCAGCTACAGCACTATTAAATTAATTTTGTGTTAATTCCATACAATGGGGCAGCCTGTTGGGCAACTTGCCTAGGGTATTTCTGGGCACTATAGTTGGCTGTGTGGCACTCATTTACACATTAAGCCAAGCAATTCTTGGTGAATTTGTATTTCTCTTCATTCACACAGACATTCGCTGCGCAGTTTGTTGTTTATTCAGCACAAGCATTCATTCATTTAATGGAGTGTGAATACAGCTAACAATACATATAACAATGCCATCGCCTGCTATCTATCTCCAGTGCACTTCCTTTTCGGCCATTGTTGCCATTGCTTTGCCACTCAGCTAGCTAGCTGTTGGTTAAGCAATTTTTGTATTTTATTATTTATTTTTTTTTTATTATTTTTTTGTTATTCATATTTATAGCAATTACGCTCAACTCGTCGTTTCACACACAGACATTCGCTTGCTGATAGTTTGTTTGTTATTTGAGCATATTCTTGGCAGGAAATGTGTTTAATAGTCGGGCAATTGCCAAGAGCTCATGCACTCAGTTAAGGGCACTTTTAATTGAAATCGTAGCTTCTGTTGCGTAGCTCTGAGAAGGTATCCATTCAAATAACCACCATTGAAGGTCATCTACCAAAAAACTTAAAAGCCTGCTCGCTCTATGTTAGAGAAATCTGCTTCATTAGGTTAAGAAATAAGCCAGAAGCTGGGGCCAACAAATTAAATATCAAAAGTCCTGTGGGACACTCAGCGCAGTGGTCAGTCAGCATAAAGTCAAAAGGTTAACGCACACATACATTCAAGCGCACAGCCACTCACTTACCCATCTTTGAGTTTGATCAAAGGCAGCTAGAAATATATTAGTACCATGATGGCCAAGACAATCTGGCCAAAAAGATGACAGTATAAGAAAAAAAAGAGCAGCATGGTGTGCTGTTCAAAGGGTCCTCTAATGCGACACACAGTCGGATTTGCCAACATTGCGTATACGCAACGTGCGCTTGTGTATTTATGCTTTGCTTCGCATTGTGTAAGTAGATGGACATGAATGAATTTGCCACTGATTACGCATCAAATGTCAGAGGGTCAGTAGGCTGCAATCACACACACACACACACACACACACAC